CAAGCAACGTACGCCCCTCCTCGTTCCTACTACCAAAACCGAAACCCCCATGAACACCGTCATACCTGTAGATTGCACTACCTATATGGCCATTGAAATCTCCCCCTATGAAAACTCTTTGGTCCTCTGGAATGCTCCTAAGTACAACATCTAACGAGTCCCAGAAGCAACGTTTCTCCACCTCCCCTAGGCCAACGTGTAGGGCGTACACTGAAAGAAAATTCACCACTTTCGCATCTATAATAACCTTAATCATCATGATCCTATCACAGTATCTACAAACTTCAACTACATTTTCCTTGAGCCTAGAGGATACCAAGATACCCACCTCATTTCTAACGTTATCTACACCTGAATACCACAACTTGTACCCATTACACTCTTTGGCGCGAGACCCTTTCCACCTAGTCTCTTGAATACATGCAAAATCTATTTTCCTATTTAGTACGTCGGTCAGCTCCAACATCCTAGCATTTAATGTGCCTACATTCAACGTACAAACTCTAAGTCTAGTCTCCTTCACACCACTCTGTCGAGCCCTCCCCCTATGCACCCTATGGTCTCTATAAGAAGGACATGACCTCAAATAATCATCTATAGCCGAAGTTATGAGGAACTATGAAAAAGGAATCCAAAGAAGACAGAAGATGCACTAATAAAATGCTAGAGAATTGAGGGTACTAAGAAGCCTAGTTTGTTATTAAAAAGGGTTTTAATTTATAAAATACTATTGTTATAAATTATTGCTAAAAGACTAATGTTAAAAGAGAAGAAAATAGAATAATATTGATTTTTATTATTATGAGGGGTAAATATTTATGAATAAAATTAATTGCTAAAAAAACCCTTAAAAATACTGACTATGTAGCAACTTCTCACAAATTTTCCCAATAAAGCTTGAATATTCAAAAACCTAACCAACTTATGAATATTCACATAAAATCAAATCCTCTCAGATAAACAAAATAGCTAATAAGAATAAATCACCCAAGCAATAATAAAGCTGTAAAATATTCTATCCAACAGCAAGGAATCGAAGTCACTCCCAGATCAAACTACCCTTAAGCAATTGGCATGAAAAAGATCCAACATAAAAGATGTTGGGAAGAAATTAACCAAAAAATTAGAACTGCAAGATGGGATCACGGCAAATTTTCAAACACAAGTAAAATTTAAAACAAAATAAAGTAAATTGAAGCAAGCAAACAACACTATGGAAATTAAAAAAGAAAACAAAACCTCAAAACTTGTAAAGTAGCAGATTTCGGTGAAGTGCAGCAAATGGGTGGTGTTATCCCGCAATGAAACCTCAAAACTTACGAAGCAGCAGATTTTTGTAAAGAGCTGTGAGATCGGCGAAGAAGCAACAAATTTGTTTGGCCTTTTACCTTTGTTTCTTGATGTATGAATAACACAAAACAGTGATGAATTTTAAATCTAAAAGCAACAAGTAAACGAGAATAAGATGGCTGAGAAAGTAGATCTTGGGATTTGCGGAGATATTAGCACCAGATTGCTGCAAAATTCGTTTTCAAGTCGCACTTTTTTTTCCCTTAACTTTCTGGATCTCTAGCTCTCTTCGATGAGACGAAGTTACTTTGTCCAGCAAAAGCTAGGAAGATCTAACGAAAGCAAAAGGTTGCGGCGTTGAACTAAATAATAACGAAATCTAGTTCTCAGATGGGAGAAAAAACAAAGAATGAAAATATAAATGCTAGTAGCAAGAAAGATCTGTCGAAATCTGGAATGAAGCTTGAGAAAAACTACAAGATCTCCAAACAAAAACAAAAACTACAAAGCAAAGTAATACAAAGAAAAAAATATAAATGAAAGGTCAGAAAGATGCAACCTGGGGAATCGTTGCTAGTCTGGGAAGCTGCTCACTTTGCTGCTGAAGTTGGTTATGCTTGTGTTTGAGTTTGAATTGGCATTAGCATTTGACACAGCGAGAAGCGGTGGCTTTGGTTCTTCCTATGGACTCTGAACTGACACACAGAGAGAGAGTAAGAATCACCAATGAACAACCTTAAAAAATTGCAAATTTGTGTCCTCTCTAGTCAAATGTTATTATAAAGCTCAAGAAAGGCATAATGCAAAAAAAAAAAATTATTAAATAGTTATTTTTTTCTTTTGGAACATTTTGATCTCAATGTTTCGTTTTAGAACAAAAAGATGTTTATTTTAAAGGATTGGAAATTTAATTACCAACTATTTTCACAAAAAGATGTTAGTAATACTTCCAAAGTTTAATATCGAGAAAAACAGCTAATTTTATTGGTTTGATTAACACACAAAAGAATATTAACATCAAACTTCCAAACAAAGATGCTCCTTTTCACAAATTGGAAGTTATCTTTTAAATTGAATAAACACGACATATTATAGACTAAAACCCATAAAAGAAATACCTGATCCATCCTAGCAGGTAAAGGCTGAGCAATGTAAGTGGGAATCTCATCCATGTACTTATGAGGTTTACCAGAGTGCAAGATCCTAGTGAGCCCACCCATTTCTTAATCGGGTCCATCCTTATGCTTCTTGAACCAGTAATACATGACCCGGCACTGCCAAGTGTAGTAAACCGAGTCGGAAACCGTCACCGCCGTGTGAAACAAACTTTTCCCTGCATTTGACCCGTGTTTTCTCGATTTCTCTACCGGCATCTTGATTAATGGTTCAATGGTCGATGATCTTGAAGGCCCGGGAAGCTCTTGCTTTAGAGAAGCATTGGCTGAGATGAGGGTGTTGAAGGTGATTAGAGCTACTGCTAAGGTTATAATCAGCGTAAAGAATACATTCCCAAACCCCATTTTTTTCAGTATATTGCCTGAAGAGCTTCTCTCCTTTTTTCTTGCTTTTATTTATGGGACGCGGTGGAGGGAAGTCTGCGTGAGGAATGGAGAGGCGGCAGGGAGAGGCGGAAGCCGCCTATAGCGGTGGCGGAATTTGGGAAGGTGAAGAGTGACAGACTGTCACCGGAGAAAGTGAATGAAGAAAATCGTCGTTTCGACTATAGAATAATAGAAATACGCCAGAGCTGAGTAGTTAAAGAAAAGTTCAGCTTCCTTTTCGTTTCATTAAAGGAAATGTATATGATATTTACATTTACGACCATGTTGTATTTTTATTTATTTTTTAAAATAATATACTGATTAATAATACTAATTGAATTTTTATATATGGATAATTGGTTGTACAAGTCATCTGTGTCAGTACCAAATTCTGGTTTTTTTCCCAATCAGGGTAAAAGTGTTTTATTAATTAGTACATGGAATGTAGAAATTTATTATAAGATCTACGGTATTTTCTATTTGTTATAGTATATAAGAAATTTGTTATGTCAAAATAATGAGTTTGTCTAAATAATATTTTTTTATTTAAATTCGTCACGTCGATATGACGAGTTTTAATAAAATATATTTTTTTATTAAATTTTATCACATCAGAATAAAAAGTTTGAATAAAACTATATTTTTTATTATTATAACAAATATAGTAGATTCTTAAATAAACTTCTATATGTCTTATTGAACTAATTAATTAAATTGTTTGTTTTATAAGGAAAAAAAAACCCAAATTCTATTTCAGCCCACATGAAAACCCAACTTACTTGGGACCCAAAAAATAGACCCTCCCTACCTAAGCTCCTAATCTTAAACCCCAACAAACAAGTGAAATCAAATTTGTCCAAATCATCATGCTCCAAAAAAAATTTACCCAAATCCAGCCCCTCCAAACTTTACTTGTTCACCCGGTTTTTTGGCCCAATAGGGCAGACCAGAAAAAATTGCAAAATAGAATATAAACACTTTTATTTTGAGATCTACTATATTTTTCAGTGCATGGAATCCGTTATGGTGACGAATTCTAAAATAAAATATTTTTCTTTAAATTGTTTTACCTCAATGCGTAAATTTTAATAAAAAATATATTTTATTAAAAAATATTTTTTTTGAAATCGTTAAGTTTCATGAATACTGTGTAGATCCCAAAATAAAAGCCGATCGCTTTAATGGGCTAAATAAAAAACATGAAAGCCCAATGGGCCAAAAAACCTGCTCACCCTCGCTCTCAATCTTCAAACTAAATTTCATTTTTTTAATTAAATATAAATACATTATATTTTTAAGATAAATTTCAAATTTATATAAAATAAAATAATATAATAACTTTTTACCAGTCGAGTAACTGAAGAATCTTTCACCAATAAATTTTATCTCTAAACGAATCTCATCTCTACAAAAAAAAAAAGTCTCATCTATCACTTATTCCATCCCCACCAACCTTATCTCTCAACAATCTTTTACCCATCCAAATTCTATCACTTATCTCTTTCCCTTATTTAAATTCGTGTCTTGCATTATCAAATCGAGTTAGATTGTAATAATTATAATTATTAACTAATTGTTACAAATTAATAATTAATTTTTTTATTTTTAAAATTTTAATAAAGAAAATGAGAATATGCTTAAATAATAGCGATTATTTGTGTAATTTAATAATGAGAATAAGGCGATAGATGGGTGGACGGCGGGAATCGAGTCCACATGGCCCGCCTCGTGGACTATGCGTGCATGCATCGACTCCTGAATCGGGAACTGTTATTTTTTTATGCCACGTTTCTGTTGTTAACTCGTGATCCTAAAACGCACCGAAATCCTAAAGCCAAAAGCCCGAATCCATTTCCCCTTTCACTTTTACGTGCCTTATTTTAATGATGTGTAATAGAATAAAGCGGCGTGGTCCTTATCCTACGCCCTCACTTCCACTTTTGACCCCTTTTCAAACCCACTTGCCTCCAGTGGCCAAACGTATCGCGGTATTAACTAGAAAACCAGTTGCCAGCCCAGCAATAGCAGTAGAACGCACTCACCCACCGTTTCTTTTCTAAATATCGTGTCGTCACTCTCGACTGTAACTGCCACCAAAACCGGATCCTTATCCTTTTATACACTACCAACGTTTCTCCCACCATCGCATCCGAACAAAGTACAAACGCAGTTGCAATTAATAATCCCCAAGATGAGATCGTCTATTTGTTGTTTTCGTACGACGGCGCCAGGCGGAGCCTGCTTCGAGCCGTTGGAGGAGGTGAAGTCGTCGAGGACGCCGAGGTCGCCCTGCATAAAGGAAAAATGCAGGAACCTAATGGCCTGGATCGGGAAAGGAGGCCACCACAAGCACTACGGTTCCTCTGATTTCAGTTACGATCCGTTGAGCTACGCACTGAATTTCGAGGATGAATCCAGCCGAGCCGACGAATTTCCTTTCGTCAATTTCTCGTCGCGGCTTCCAGCTACGCCGGACCGATCGCCGGCTATCAAGCGCTTGGATGGTACGCCGGTGCCGGTAAGGAGGGAAGTCTACGCGTTCAGTTGATAGAAAAATGCTGCCATTATATAGCTGGATTAGATTAACTGTAACGTTCCAGAGATTCTAATGTACTACGATAGGCTGAACAATTCGTCCTGCAAAAATTATGTACAGTACAGAGTTTTGAAATTAAATTGTAAATTCTACCGATTATTGGAGTTCTAAGGAAAACGATAATATTTTTTTTAACCAAATTGTATATTATCTGACGTGTCTGTATATATCTATCTGACGTGTCACTCTAAGATAGTTTACCCTAAAAATAAACCACGTCCTAATTTTGTTAATATTTAGTTACATATATTTGATTGAGATCAAAATAAAATGTAATTAACCAGTTGAAAAAAGAAACTTGTTAACCTATTAGAATTAAGGGTAAAATACAAAAATGGTTCCCAACTATAAAATATTGATTTGTTGAGTCCTCTGACTATTAAAAGTTATAAATAATCCTCTGACTATGCATTATTGAGTCTCTCAAAGTTATAGAATGGTCACTCGACTATTTATTATATTTTAAACTCATATTTTTTTGTTAAAAAATTGACGACAATCTGAGTTTGACGTGAGCCTCTTGATTGGGTTATGATAAAATATGATCTCAAAATCTCAACCGGTTATCATATCTCAATCAGCATGTTAACGTCCAACTCGTACGACCGTCAAATTTTTAAAGGGAAAATGATGAGTTTGGAATATAATAAATAATCGAATGACCATTTTATAACTTTTAATAATTAGAACACTTAAAAAATATAGTCCTGAAATCGATCGATAGTTTAATGATTAAACTGATAGTTCATCCTTTGAAATAAATCAAGTATCTAATAAATAATTTTTTCTATAAATATAATTAATTTATAATATATCACATTTTATATGATTTATGCATAACAAATTAAGGTTATATCATTTTGATGTTAATAAAACAGAATAACAAACATTAATTTTAATAATATATATATATATAATGGATCTAAATATGTAAATGTAATTACATTTATGACGTAAAGAGATGTAATTGCATGCAATGTCAAATAAATTCAAAGAAAGAATGATAAAAGAGAAAGGCCTAAGGGTTATAAAGGCTGATTACACCGTACACTCACAGTGCCTCATTACACTTATTCACACACACACACATATATATACACGAAGAGTACGGATGTAAAAAGCTGACACAACATGAAAAATTGATTGAAATTGACTTAAGTCAAAAATTATTTTTGATATCCGAAATTGACTCGAGTCAGAATTGATGTTGACCTGAACTTGAATTGAACTGAAAATATGATATCCGAACCCGAACTGCATTCAACTGATATGAACCCGAACCCGAGATTGACCTGATATATAACTGGTATTACCCTACATGTTTTCAACCTGACTTGTTATGAACCTGACTTGTAATTGATTCAACTTGTAAATTATTCGACATGTTGAACTGATCTGATATTTACTTAACTTATAAATTTATGATAATTAAATTAATATGATTACTTTTTAAAATTTAGTTTTTATATTAGTTATAATTTGTATATTATAAATTTGATTTTTATATTAATTCCAATTCTTTATATTCTTTATAATTTGTATATTATAAATTTTATTTATAGTCATTAAATTAAATTAAACTATTGTCTTTTTGAACATGATTTTATTAGGTTATACAAATTGAGTTAAAATATTCATAAATCTAATTTATTTTTAATGTGAAAATTGATTAATAATTTAAGTATAACTTAACTTAAAATTTTAAAATAAATATGTATTAGTTGAATAACATAATAAATACTAAACCAAAAAAAATTTAAATGAATAAGTTAATTTTATCACACTTGAATACACTAAAATTACAATAAAATCAACTAAACAAAATAAATTTATGTTGAAATAAATGCTCTCAGATCTTATAGCTAAGGTTTTACAAGGCTAAAAGTTTAACTTTATTGCCATAAATATCATCATCGAGCCTTTATACATAAATGTTGCTAACATGTTTACTTATGGGCAACTTTCTAGCTTTAAAAGCCAAAATGCCACCAACATAATTTAACATGAGTAACTATTTAGATAAGAATTTACAATGTACAAAAATTGATTTAACCAACAATAATAATTTACAAGGCATCAATGAGTAATAGACAGCATCAACCGACAAGCATCATTGTATCAATTCGGCAAGCATCGTTGCATCAATTCAACAAGCATCCTGCTTTAAGAAAGCATACAGTCAGTGGTAAAAGCCAAAGGGAATTCGATGGCCAACAATGCCAAACATTTTCGACTTTACCAAACCCTTACAACTATCAAGTAGAAGCAAACAATAGCAAACAGAAACAAACAATATAAAATAGAATCAAACACCAAAACGTCAAAAGCAAAAACAAATAAAAGATATCAGCAAAGTCAAAAGCAAATCACCTAAATCCTACCTAAACGTGTTACTATCCTACCAAAAACAAAGAAAATGCAGATACATACATGAGGATTCGGTGAAGAGACCAAGCATAAATTAAAGGGTGTTCGAACAAGGAGAGGGGGAGAAACTGAAACAGAAAAAAAAAACAGGGGGGAAATCCATTCGAACATAAAAAATCAGAGAAAAATATTTGAGTGAGGAAACAAGGGTATCTTGTAAACCATTCAAAAAATTATCAATAAAAAATCCAAATTTTCAGAAAAAAAGAGAGCATTACAAAACACAATACACTATTTCTTTTAAGGTATATTTTCCCTGTACATGCATTTAGTTTTTTTCGAAATATAAGATATAAACTAGTAAAAGATAAAAAAAAATTACCTTTGGAATCTCAGTTTTCCTTCGCTAGAGGGTCGTCGGAGAGGTAAAAGTACCTTTTTTTAGGTGTTTAGGTGACCGAAAAAAGATTAAAGCTTTGTTTTTTTTGGTATGGGATAGATTGACCACCATTGGTGGTGGTCTAGAAGTAAGAAGCCACCAATGAACGGTGGCGCATGGAGGGTTTGGGCATTCGATCAAGTGCTTGTAAGATGCTTTTGTTTTTTGTTTGGATTTTAGATTTTAGGTTAGAGACTAGGAAAAGAGAGGAGCTTTCGGAGTTAGATCCGGCCACCAAGATACGGTGGCCGGCCGTTTTTGGGCCTAAGAAGAGGTTCGGCCGGCATGATGAGTTGAGAGAAAGAAGAGTATTGAGAGAAAAGGAGAGGATAACAAAAGGGGGCTAGGATTCTTACCTAAGTGATTAAAATGTGATTTATATAGGTAAGAAAACGAAAAACTTATGTTAAGGTCCTTTCAGTTTCAACTTTGTTTTACAAAAATGGCCACTGAATTATTGCGTCTAATCGCGTTTAAGTCACTTTAATCTCACCGCGTGTTTACATTCTAGTCACTGAAATTTATGCGTTTTATTTTATTCTATTTTAGACGTTTTATTTTCATTAATTTTAATTTAGTCATTAGTCAGTTATAATTCATATTTTAGTTATTCTGATTTCTGCTCCCTATTTGTATTTATTTTATTTTAGACATTAACTTTATAACTGTTACTTTATTGTTTGACCTAGCATCCTTATATTTATGTTATTGATTCAAGCTAGTATACTAACTTTTTATTTTGTTATTGTTGTTAGCCAACTAATATTTTTATTTTATGCTTAATAACACCTAAATTTTAATTTTATGAAATTTAATGTTTATGTTTTTTATATTTCCAGCACTTTAAATTTTAATATTTTATTCCCTTTTAAGTTCCAACATTTCATTGCTGTCTTTTAATTTATGGTTCTTTTATTTCATTCACCACCCTTGTTGCTTGCTTAAATGGAAATTTTTTATATATTGAATATATTAGTTTCTAATTTTTTATTTCCTCTTTTGTCATTTAATATTATGACATTTATTCTTCACTGTAAATATTTGGTTTTTATATTTATGCTTGATTTTTGCATTCCTTTTAAATGTTTGTTTCCTTAATTCATGTCATGATCCCTTTGACTTCCCACTATAACTTATATAATATGATATGTTTTTTAAATTACCTCATTTATGTGTTCATATTATAGCCTAAAAAAATAATAGTTGTAAATATTATGCTATAAATATATACAATTTATTACCAAAAAGTATTTATTAATTTATTACCAAAAAGTATATTTTTTTAACGTATAATAAATATATATCTTTATATAGACATAAATATATATATATATATATATATATATATATATATATATATATATCCCTTATATAACTCCCTTATAAATAGTCGTTCCCATTAAATATGTATATTATGTGTATATATATATACGTTTTTCAACAATTTTTGCAATATGTTACATATGTTAAGTATGTTTTGTATTATATTATATATATATGCATGTGTGCTTTATTATTTATATAACATACGAAAAGTTCTTTGGGGTATTTTTTCAAGCATGTTGTATGTATTTGATTCATGAATGAACAATAATAATAATCAAAATATTTGCTTAAAAAATGAGGAAAATGTAATGAAAAAGTTTTCTAACTATAAAGGAGGTGCATTTTCAAGGATTGTTCGTACAAAATGAGTATTGTCTCCTATAAAATAATTATAATTTTTTATTAATAAATGGTTGTATTTTATAAATATATTTCGAATTCTTTAATCTTTTTGACTCATTGCATTTATTATCTCAGTTGTTTTTGGAAATTGGTATCTTTTAAATAAATTCAAATGAATAACAATATCGTAATTTACATATTTTTTTAAGTTTGTAATTCCCAATATTTAAACAACATATAATCGTTTAGGTACCAAAATTTGGGCGTTGTGAGGTGCTAATCCTACCTCATGCGTAACCGATTCCTGAACCCGTTTTAATCGAATCTTTGGTAAACACAGATCGACTTTTGTCTTAAAAAATGATTTTTCTTAAAATTGTTTTTAAAAGACATTTTTAGGTATTTGACCTACCTAACCCAAAGACCAATGGCGACTCTATCCAATTTAATTTAAAAACTCCAATTTGTCCAAAATTAAAGTCGTAACTTTTTTTAAAACGAGAAGAAATTGTTTTGTAAAAAAATGGTTAT